ATATATATATATATATATACAGTATTTATATTCTGTACATCCAAAAAGTTATGTTTTAGAGGTGGAAAAAAAGACAAATGTTTCACTGTTTAAAACCAAGAGAAAATTAAAAGAAAAGAGTTGAATCACTGCAATTGTAGTATGGTGCAGTATGAGGGCCAAAATTAAGACTATTGTGCAACAAGTGGTTGCTACATCCTTGTAGAAGGAGGCTATATCTATTCCTAAGCCAGCTGTTGATKTGATTAATGATAGGCTGGTGTTAGCATTGGGGAGGCTAGCAACTYGCATGCCTAGGTTTCTCACCTACTTTAGTAGACATGAACTTTTTTGAAGAAAGCTTTCTCAACAAAAATGGTTGACATACAAAACCTATAAGCAACGTGACAGGTGTTAGACAGAATTTACTGTTCAACATGACGTCAAGCATAAATATTAAACATAAAACATATTTCTGTTAAACAAACAGTTTTAGTTACCACCTGAAACAACAGCTGTGTTTGCCCTTGTCTATTGGTTGACGGCTGTTTTTTTTCTCTCTTTAGCTGAATTATGAGAAATGCCAGAAATATCAAGTTGGGGCTTTTTACAGTTGTTGACAGGGTATTAAATTAGACTTCTCTATATTGAATTATAATTTATAAAGTCATATACAGGTATTTCTCGTAATATATCACTGACCACAGCAGTCATTACAGGCCTGTGGTTCTCCATGAGCTCCTCCTGGTTCTCCTTGGCCCACTCAAACAGAGTATACATCATGGCAGTGCCCAGGTTAGCCTCCACCTGCTCCTCCAGCTTTGCCAGGATCAGCTGCTTCGTCTCTGCGGAGCTGCCATCAAATTAGCAGCAAATAAAACAATGCATCAAATAAAAAAACAATTCAAGCAAACAAACCTAGAATATCTGAACCAGAAGCTGAAAGGCTGRGATGACAGATTTTTAATGCAGAGTGAAGAAATAGCATGAGATGACTGGTTGTAAAAGCAGTTATTACAAAAATGAAAAAGTACAAAAATAATTTGATTAAGAGCTGTGTGTAACAATGAATTGATAAATGGCCATTTTCTTTAAAACACTTTGTTTTTAAATTTTCTATTGTATCAAGAGGATCCTTCCACAACATGAAGGCTAATGTATTTATAATATGCTGAAAAGAAGCACATCACATTTTATCAATTTATTTTGCCAGTTGAATCAAACAAATTTTAATCTACTAAACCATTACTCCACCATTAATCGTAGGTTGACTAACTATTTGCATCCTTAAAGCAACATTAACGTTTTTAAAAGCTCCCCAGTAGCTTTGTTGTTTTTTCTCACCCTCAGTTGATCTGAACTGATATTTTCAGTAAAAGAATAGCTGATCTCTTCTTGTCATAGTAGGACCAGCAAAAACTCTAAACACTAAAACGTGTCCTGTTTTTAGGCAGTAACTTCTGTTTCAAATGTTCTTTATAAATTGCTGCTTACTGTCTGTTCAACGAGGTTTTAAAAGTCAGCCATGAAAGACCGCTGACCACAGGGTTTTGGTGTCCTGGCTTCCCTCTGTATCTTTGCTGTGACAGTAATGCACAKAAGAACTGCAGATTACACTTACATCCTGTTATTAAAGAAAGCATCCAGGGAGATCTGTGGTGCTGACTCAGGATACGTCTCTGGCCACACAATGTCCAGGATGAACGCTCTGGTATCCTCAAGGTCCCCAATCTGTTGAATGACATAAACACATAATGTTGGCCCAGTGAGCTGCAGTAGTTCAAATAGTGCTGGGAATCATACTCACTCTAAACTGGAAGGAAACTGGACTGATTTCCTTAAAACACTCATCCCCCTCATAGATGGAGCGAAGAGCTTCCAGCTCCATCTGCAAATAAAAGAATTGTGTCACAAGGTCATTTTGTTAAAAAAATACCACTTCAAAACATGAAAAGTTCAAATTTACATCGTACAAACAGCAGCCACAATAATTTATTTGTTGTGAATGGATTCGTAGACATTTGTCGCGGAGTTATGACGTCAAAGACGCTCTACTCTGTTAAAATAGAAAATTCGCCAATAATTACGCGTCTGTCGTAACATTATTCATTAGGGTGAAGAGAGATTGAACGCCTTGTACTGACTGCTGTTGTAGCGAAACAGATTTCTTACACGATGAATTAAACGCTGTCATGTTAACTTGGATGCTGCCTCATCGTCCACACTCATGTTTGCGCTGTCGTTAGCAGCTTAGCCGCTAACAGCAGCTACATTTTCCTTCATACCTCCTGATCCTCGTTAGCCGTCATGTCCTGCCTTCGGCTGCTGTTTCATGTGCTCCCGACACAGAGGGTCTAACCAAATCAAAAGCACTTAATTACTCATTTCTGTCGTTACAACGTAACTAATGTCACAACTTCACAGACACCGGGGGGTTAATGACCACCGAACCGGAAGCGCATGCGCAGTGAAGAGCGTCTTGCTTAAAACTAAAATATAAATATATTTTTCCATTTCATTTCAGTTCAGTTTTTTTTTCTTTTGCGTTCTCACGCAGTAGTATTGCGTTACCTCGCAAAAGCCGTTTATCAATGTTGTGCCTGCCGGTTTATTAACAAATTCTCATGCTCACCATTAGCGAGTTAGCTACTATCAGCTTACTACTTTAATTCAGCTTCAGAATGAATTACACAGCCACGCATGGAAACATGTCATATGCCGATTTAACACAGTGCAGCCACGCAACATCAACGTTAATTTCACGAACTTGTGGCGACACATCCTGTTTTTGGTAACCGGATATTTCAAAATAAAAGTCTGATTTAATCATAGACAAATACAGATCACTAAAAAAAATATTTAGATCACTAGACTGAGCCCCGCCCATACGTCCACTGGTAGTGTCTGTGACAGACTGGAGGAGCAGAAACAGACCTAACAGGGCAACAGCTCACAGCCTCCATAGAAACTAATATGTAAACAGATCTGTTTCACAGATTATCGGTCATGTTTTTACAATTAATTAATAACTATGTTAATTTCATTCAACAATCATGTAAAACAGCAGATTTATACCAGAAAATATATAATTTATAAGTAACAATGATCTAAACCAGACCTGAATTCAACCCGTAACTTAGACTTTAGCTAGTTGAAAAATGATGACTTCAGCTAGTAATAAAGTATATATTTCTTCTTACTGTCATTAAAAATGGGAATATTTATATTTACCAGTCAACAGTTAGAAAATGTTCTCTGGTTATAGGATTAAATTTGTCTCTATTAGCTAACCATCTTCTTAACAGGTCAGGTTCTTCTAACAGAAACCTAAAAATACTTACATTTATCATATTATTTTACACTCTGTAGATATTGACCCCAGAATGATGCCCATTTATGTAGCCACTCTCCTCCCATTGAATCTCTGAGATGGGTATTCAATTCAATTCAATTCAATTCAATTCAGTTCAATTCAAATTCAAAAATACTTTATTGATCCCAGAGGGAAGTTAGGTGTTGTTGTAACTCATTTAACTAAAAACTTATTGTAGATGCTGATGGCTGTGGGCAGGAAAGATCTTCTGTAGCGGTCTGTATTACAGTGAAGTTGTAATACAGACAGAACAGACAGAAAAGACTGGCAAAAGACATTTGTGTGAAACCAGAATTATGCATATTAAATATACTGTAGTCATTATACTGTAATGTTTTCTTGGATGCAGCTACAACCAGAAGGTCCAACCACTTCAACACATAACATTTTGTCATTTATCCAGAAAGGTGTTGGTCTGATAATTGTTAGTAATACTCTAATGAAATGTGACACTCTTTACACCTGTCCCTTCTCTCACTCACACATAAGTTACCTGAATCTATTGTGCATTAACATCCTACCTTTCACCACATGTGCTTGCATGAGCTGAGATAATATCAACTGGGAACTGTACAAGACATACTGGGCAGATCTGCAAATAAATAAACATTTGTTTCATACAGGAAACAAAAAATGAACATATTTATATGCACATTTACAGTCAAGATAAATGAACTAGAAACTGGAGATATGCTATGATCAAAATGTGTATGTGTCTGGGTAAAAATGTAATAAATTCAATTTGATGTGTTATGCCTAATCTATTTATACATCTGCAAGAATTGCTTACTTACTTTATGAAATGATAATCTAATGTTTATTCCTTTTTGCAAGGCAAAAACAACAACAAAAAAAAATATTACCCCCAAGGATTCATCCATGCTGATGGTAGATGGAACTGGCTGCTCGCCAACATCAGCACATGTTGCAGATTCACTCTCCTAAAGCAGTAATATGATATTTATAAAGTATTAAATAAACAAATATTTAATACTTTCTGAAACGTATTTGTATAATCTTAAAAATAAAATAATAAAAGAGATGAAACAATATAGTATAGCTTACAGTCAATGTGCCATTGCATCCCTCCACATGCAACAGCAACAGTTGCAAAGGCATTTGGCTGCCACATGTAATGTGTTTTGATTGTGGCATCTTGGCAAACTCTACTGAATCATAGGAAAGTAGTTCAGTTGAAAGTACATTTTCACACAGACTGATTTATCTGTAATATATTTCAAGATTAAAATAAAAGTATACTTAGAAAATTACTTTCAGTATACTTCTGAGCGTACTTTCATAAACTTATTGTGGGCCAATTTAGTCCTAGAAATACACTTGTTAGTAAACTGCTAGTATACTTATATCAGTGTTTAATGGTAAATAAAAGTACATTTAGGGAAATACACTTTTATATACTTTAGTATACTTAATGACATGTACTTAAAGTATACTTTATAAACTTAAAAAGACACAGTGGGGAGATCAAGTATTTGATACACTTTTACACTTACCGTTTTCAGTTGTCCCCCTCCTACAGTGTGGCTATTGCCAGTATCACTCCACCCCCTGTTAACAGTAGGTGTTAATTAGGTGTCAACGATAGCCATGTGATGTGATGTATCAGTCACATGGAAGCAGTGCTTAAAAGCCTGAATTTTGCCTGAAACTCTCAGACTGAAGAAGTCTCTTGGAGGAGAGACGAAACGTTTCATTAGAGAAGAACCCGTCCAGAAGACCTATACAATTTTTTTTCTTTTTGATTTTTTACCTGGCTTACTGAGATGCATCAGGACATTCCTTGTCAGTGGTTAATGGCAGAATTTCCAAGTCTGAGAAGTCTTAGGAATACTGATTTGCAGTCATGTTGTGATATTATAGCTCCGGCGGCCGCAGACTCTAACACGTAATAACAGGGTTCTAAGCCATCATTCTGTGGAATGGTTTGGACAATGCTCAGCTATTACCACACAAATGTTTAGCAAAGTGTGTAAAAT